GAAAATATGCAATATTTGAGACCGTCCAACATGATCGGTTCATTTATAATTTATCTTGAATTAAGCCTTTATTGACAGCAGTTGATAGTAGATCTCTATTACATGTCTTTAGTACGTTTGGTTGTGCCTGTTCACGAGATAACTTGTTGATAAAACTGCAAGTATATGAAATGAACAAATGTTTTCATATTTTGATTACGGACACCCGTTCTTAAAGGCACAGAAAATCAGAAGGGTGGAATGGCGAAAAATCAGTCTATAAAGGTAAAATTCTCATCCAAGCTAATAATTACCAAAGTGAAAAGGCACCGCACGTCGGTGCAAAGTGAGTGTATGAATATTTTCAAAACACAATAATTACCCGTATCGCTTCATGCTAATAACACTTAAAAATCCAACCAGTCTTCAGACTCGCTGGTAAAGTATCTTACAGAACTAATCTCCTGCTTTTTCTGGATAACTATCGCTGTTTTTGACAATTCTGAAGGCGAGGGCGACTGAAGAACCAAGATCGCGCTTCGTAACTGGACGGCTAGCCCAAGTCAGCAAACAGCACACAACTCCAAACAAAATGACTTCCCTATACCGCTAGTTGTTAAGACGTGGTTTTAGTATTAAAAGCTAATTCAAAGGATCAAATATAACAAAAAAAAGTATCATGCATATTTTCCGACTTAAAACCACGCAAAAGGCCGATGTCTTCATATGTAACATATGGAACATATGGAAGCGCTTGGCAGCCTAAAGTTGATGACCACTGACCAGTTACTGTGGCGTCACGAAAACGTATTTCCGCGGTGTCACGTAACAGAGTGGGCCATTGATTTGCGAGAGTGGCACTGGAGGGAGAGAAGACTATCTCACAGGCTCTTAATGACAGTTGTGAGCTGGTGAGCACTAAGATCTTCCTAGGGAACAAAAACACCACTCCTGAAAAAAGGGCAGATATCAGAGGAAGAGGTTGTGCACCTCTCGCCCAACATGTTTTTGCTATTTTTGCCGCGCAATTTCGCGTGTAGCGTGACACGTTTGCATCGTCAGACGGAAAACACTGGAAACTAGATGAAGTAGCACAACATGGCGGCGCCAAATTTGAGATTTTATGTGACTGCCTATTTCGATACCAAAGAGTGTGGTACAACGAAATCCTAAACTCCAACTGGCTTTCGGTATCTATTGCCTCTTGTTTGATGGTGTTTGGATGGGAAAAAATGACCTAATTGTGGCTGGAAAACCTAAAAATAGAGAACACGTGCGACATTAAGATCAACTGCAAGACATAAATAGGAAACAAAATTGATACAATATGTTGTATTGCGAATGAGTGAAGCACTGCTGGAAGGTTTTTGCAGAAAAAAATTGGTGTAGTAATTGAGGGGGTGAGTATAAGAGCTTGTGAACCTCTCTTAGCCGTATTTGGTAGTTAAAAAGCCTATTAAGTTCAACAAAATAGGAAGGTGACTTTGATATTTCATTGTTTCCTTATTACGATTAAATGAAATCAACGATTTGTTCACTTGTGGATGAAATGCAAGTAAAGAAACTATCTTCACAGGTGGACTGCAGTTAGAGAAATAATAAAAATATATAGTATTAAAAATTATATAATAATATTGATAATGTTAATATGGATGATAATTTTATTAAACTTTAAAAATATGTACATAATTTACAGAAAAAATTTGAAACAAGAATTAAGCACTGTAGAACAATAAGAATCATATAAATCATAAAAAATACACTTACTATATTCCAAATACACTCCTTGTGGCTCATTTGAGGTCTGAAACTCTTGCAAGTAGTCTGGTATTTTAAATTAAATAATGGCAAAAGAAAATTATCTGTATTTGGTATTAAGAGAAACAATTTAAAAAGAAATAATGATAGTGATAGTGACAGTAATAATAGTAATAATAATATTGAGACTTTGATCGTTGAGGGTACGGACTGATCTACTTGTGGCCTACAAATTAAAACAAATTGGATATAAACAGAGTAAATAAACATGAATGTGGTGTTTAAAAGCCTCAGCTGGCAGGAGGTAAACTAGAACAGCATGGCCAAGTACCTAATAGAGGTTTTGCACAGCAGCCATGTTGGATGGCAGGAACAATGAAAATATTTTGCATAAGAAAGAAATTTTTTTTCCCGTGGGAAAAATAATCTATTGTTCCTGCCATCCAACATGGCTGCTGTGCAAAACCTCTATTGTGTGTGAAATAAACTTGAGTCAGCATCATGTTTTCGTGCCGCTTTGTGGCACTCTTAATACAATACAATTCATTTGAGAGGTAGAAACGCAGGTAGGTGAGAACTTTTTTCAATTCAACTGCCAGTAGATTTCAAAATTGTCACATAACTTGCACCTCCCTATTACCTGCAGTGGCATGTGTTTAAGGCAAAATCAACAGATTATCCACAGGTTAATGGCAGAAATTATGGTAGTTGAACTTGGGGCAATGGAGAAAAATTTCAGGGCTTAGCAGGGTGGAAGGCTTTAACCGAGGAAAACCAGATTATAAGATCAGCACCCATACCACCTGGCCACACTGCCCTTCTCAAATTATAGAGAAAGAGAAAAAATTAAATTGCAGCTCACTTGCAATGCTCATTTCTGTTCTTGGATCATCCATTATATAAGACATGATTTAAAGTAAGCAAATTGAATGCCTCATAAATTAGTAAACAATGTTATACTTATCTCGTCTCGACATTATTGATTTTACATGTAAGTGAAATAAGAATTGTTCACATAACTTCTTGACTGGCACCCCTAATGAAATCTGCCCTGATGTTTCTCATTAAGAAATTGTAAAAAATTCTTATTTACAATAAATAGACTGTGCTAAGAATATTGGGCAACAACAGCATGTCAAAAAACTTATTTCAAACTAAGAGTCAGCTGGGGATTTTCTTAATATGTTATTATCATATGTTGGGAGCTTGTGGCCTATATACCTCACACTCTAATTGGCTAAGAGCTGGGATGTTACTAATAACTTGATAACCAAGAGTAAGGTGTTTATGGGAAAATCTCAGACCTTGGCCATGCCATAATGACCTAGCTATCACTATTTTTTTTTTATACAGTGAGGCCACAGTTTGATATAATTTTTCCCCTTGAAATAGAACAACCAAGGTTGTTAAGTTGTTTATTATATGACTCGCGACCATTTCTGAAGAAACACAATCTTGATTAAAGCGGAGGTCATTGCTTTACAGTACATCCAGCAGTTACTTATTAATTCACCTATTCAAGCTCTCAGTCTGCACTGCACATTGAGTAATTGAATTTTTTAAGTGTTAAAAGTCAAAAAAATTTTGTATATTCTTGATATGATGTGTAGGACATGTAAAATATGCATATCTGTTGGCCTCCAGAATTTTTTTCTGCATTTGTTGACCTTCAGTAACCAGCTTAATCTATTTGTGATGTTCCCTGCCAAAGTGTCTCAATGATGAATTTGATATTGATCATAGTAGCAATTTTATTTTCATCTTGCTTTCAGCTTCCTGTATCAGCAATAACATGCTACAAGGTGGGAACTGTTCTGTTGGTGGCCTGTGGAAAAGACGTAGTATGGTGGGTGGTCTGTGGACAAGCCTAATGGTTCTTGACCCATAGAAAATTTCCTGTACATGTTCTATGGACAAGCTCTGGTGTGTGACCTGTGAACAACCCATAGATGTGGCCTGTGATCAAACCTTTACAATTTACTTGTGAACAGGCCTGGGTATTTCTTAAGCCAGGCAAGTGGGCTTGGGGACAAGGCTTCAGAAATAGCCTGTGGACAAGCCTTGCTACATGTCTATGGCCTTTATAAGAGCCTTGGTACACATGTGGCCTTTAGACAAGCCCAGTGGTATTTGGACTCACAGTGGGCAACTCTGGCATAGACTCTGGCACATGGCCTCTGGACAAGCATTGGTTTATTTTCTGTATCTGTGCACAAGCCCTAGTTTATGGCCTATTGACAGGCCTTGGTACATGGTATTTGGACTAGCCCTGATAGTTGGCCTGTGGACAGGGTGTGGAAGGTGGTCATTGGATAAGCCTTGGTAGGTGGTCTGTGGACAAGCCCTGGTTTGTGACTTGTGGACAAGCCTCCATATGTGGCCTGTGGACAAGGAGTGGTAGGGGGCCTGTGGACAAGCTTTGGTAGATGACTTGTGGAAAACTTGGGTACGTACCTTTGGACAAGTGTTGGCTCATCACCTGATACATGGTCTGTGGACAAGCCTTTGTTATGACCAAACTGCAACAGGTAAAATTTTAAAATGTTTCTGTGAGGTACCCCTTAAGCTTTCAGATTAGACGTAACTTACAGAAGGAAAGGCAATAAGAGCTTCAAAGGAATTGTTGTGGCTTATCACACTTCTCCTTATGCCAGCTGAACTACAAACTTAAGAGCCCCTAATTGTCAGAGTTTATTGTGGTTCTCTTGGTATGAAGCAACTAGGAGCATTATTACTCTTCTTGGATGGAATGTTGGTCATCCAAAGTGATCCCCAGCAATTTGTAAAGTTTCTTTCAGCTGACAATTTGCTGGCACACATTTATTTAATAAATAAACAGGGCTTAATTGTTCTTTGTTCAGTTGTAAAGAACACAGGAAAGAAGTAGAGGGTGCTAGAAGAGTAGGCAGAAAAAGGTTAACTTTGTAGTGTTATGTTTCTACTTATTTCTTGAGTTCTCTGATGCTTTACATCCTGACAGCGCAGTTGAGGCTGCATTATTTGTTTTTTGGTAAAGAATCCATTATTTCTCAATGGATTTAACTAGTATTCTCAGAACAACCTTTATTTCCCAAACAAGTTAAGGTGGCATAAGGGTGCATTAAGCACGCTGAAATATGCCACTCACAATCCTTGTTGGAATGGTTCAAATAATTTGATTGTCTTACAAGATAACAGCTGTTGATCACAATTTGGACATAATGTGTTCAGTTGCAAGTGTTTTTTTGAGTGAAGAACAATTGCTTCAACATTCAATTTTTGATTTAATTTGTAAATAAGGAACTAAAAGTCTCTTGTGGGTTGAAATCTGGTCAAGGTACGGCTTATGAAAATCTGCACCTCTCCAGCAGACAATGGAACTAAGAGCTCCAAGCTTGGGAATGACAACACAAGGATACCAAAGTGCTGAGCAGAATCTAAAAGGGGCAACTTTTATTTGTCTGACCATTTTTTTTAAAATAAGATTGGCTGAACTAGTGACAAGCTTGGAGAAACTAAACTTCTTCTACCGCTTCTCTTCTAAATACTTAATAAGAGAATATCAGAACAAGCTTTCAGCTGATCACCTATCAGGTGAGAAGTATGATTGTTGAGGTTGACTTTCATGGTGTGGATAGATTTGCAATCTAGTGAATTAAAGAAACTTAAACCTCCATGTAAGTGTTCTTTGAACATTTTTGCCAAATGAAGTTTTTATCATGAATACCAAGAGCTCAGTTGGTGAATACAGATGCTATTTTACTGTGTATAGTGTAAGTTCTGCCTATGTGGTTAACATGTTGCCCCTTTTTACAAGTATTTGACATTGAGAATTTGTCTATTTCACAACTAGATAACAATTTTCTTTGAATATGTACCAAAACTTATAAATTAAGTATGGCTTTAACACTACTGTTCAAATTATTGGGTTCAAAGCAGTTCTCTGAGTCTTGGAGACACCTATCATAGGTTATATTTTTTTTTACGTCCTCATAATAAGTAAAATTTAGAAATTCAGCTCGCTGGAGCATTTTTGGAGCATATTTGAAAACTTTTTTAGAAACTGAGCCATTATCCACAATTACAGTGACACACATTTACACTTTTTTTTTATTGACACTTTTGATACTTTGACACTTTATAATGACGCACTACCCACAAATAGCAGAGCTAGTCTTGGTGGGCAGTGTGTGGACGCTAAAACATCTTATTAAATAAAATTCGGCTCAACAAACGATTCAATAAATATGCAAGAAACAGAAATTAAATATTAAATCAGTAAAGCAGAAATGACAGTATGAGATAAAAATACAGAAACAGAAACACATGACAATAAATAGAAGAATACATAAGTTATACAGGTCTCTATATCTTTGGTATGGATAGACAGTAAGTTAGATCTGTTTCCAGTAGTTGAATTTAGGAAGGTTGACAAAGGTAAATAATTTTACAGCCATTTAATGCATTATAGTAGGGACATAACATGTCTTCCAAGCAATCTCTTTAAGCTGGTATGGCTTAACCCTTTACCTCTCAAGTTCTGATTGTTAATTCTCCCCTCTAGTTGCTACATGAAGGGGGCTTTGGGATTTTCAGTTTTGTGGTTTTGATTGTTTTTTGGATCGGTTTTTGGGTTTTTGGGCCAAAAAGGTTCAGTTTTTCGGTTTTGATGTTCAGAGCGGTTTACGGATTTTACGTATTTTTGCATTTGGTTTTTGGTTTTCACGAAGACTCTAATGCGGTTTTCGGTTTTTCCTTTTTGACCGCTTCAAAGGTGAAAATGTAGTGGTTTTGTCAGGTTTGCATGCTGTTTTCAGTTTTGCTGCCTTTTTTCATTGGTTTGGAGGTTTTGGAGGTTTTTTTCTTCGGTTTTGTGGTTTCTCAGAGGCCCCAATGCCCCCCTCCTACACATTTCCTTGTAAATTAGAAACAAGAATTTGGTGTTAGATCAGGATAACAACTTCTATCTGATGAAATAATTTGGATATATCAACAAAGTTGAAATGGTAAATTAGCCACCGTAATGATTACAAAAGCTGACGTTCAAGCGTTAGCCCTTCGTCGGAGCGAAACGTCAGCTGTTGTAATCATTACAGTGGCTAATTTACCATTTCAACTTTGTTGATATATCCAAATTATTTCGTTACTCCCACCGACGCAGCCCCAAACAGTTTCTTTCGAAACTATCAGCCTTTATTCTATCTGATGAGTTTGAATATTCTAGTTACCTGATTGCTGGATAGTCATGGATATTATAGATAGAAGTCACATGTTAATCACTTTTGGGAGTTAAAGCTTTGCACTTGTCAGTTTGGGTTAATTCTGTAGATAATAGTTATTCTTAATATCAATTTGATGGGTACTTGTTTACCAGTCTTTGACAGTATAGTGGGTTATTTGGAAATCTGGCCAACAATAATTGCCCAATTTATTCACAAATTTCTTTGGAATTAAAACCCAGTCCATGATCTGATTTAGAATTGGTATCTAATGACCAGTCAGGTCCCATACATACATAGAAAAGCATAGTGCAAGCTGATGTGTGTCGGGTTGAACAGGTTGATGTGAGCCCGTCTGAAAAAAGCTTTCCTGCCCTGCTACACTCACACAGCTTTGTTGCTTAAACTTGAAGGGAAACAGAAATGAGAAAAAAAGCCTTGTTTATCAATTGGATGAATTGCAAGGTTCTTGTTCTGACTTAAAAAAAAGATAAAGGAAAAGTTTTTATTGTAGGACCTTTTTTGTGGTTGTACCAATTGTGTCCATCTATCTGGTCCTTTTTTCAGGTTAAACAAAGCTTTCAAACTTTTCAACTCTTAGTGATCATAGAAATAATGTCATGAATATTGCGATACTTTTCTCAAAGGATGCAATTTCAGAGAATTAATTAACTTCGTTACTCTTTGTTTTAAATTGTTACTTACTGACAATTGCACTTTTAGTCAATCATCAAGTTCTTATGAGAAAGATTCCTTTGAGTTACCAAGAGGTTCACATCAGCAAGGGTACATGTTTTTTGGGAGTGGACTGTTCTAGAGAACTGACTTGGATAAGTATCTCATCCAGGAAGAGTGGTTATAATTTTGATTGCTTCTTGCCAAGGAAACTGGGATAGGCTTTATAGGAGTGGGCCTTTTAGGCTTGCAAAGATTAAAACATACATGGAAACAGAAACTGCTTTAATTTGTAATTCAAATTAATTAATTTTAATTTTTTTTATAACTTTCTATAACAGATCTATCATCCAAAAGCATCAGATGTTGACAGCGCAAGCCTTCTATTGGAGTTGAAGAGTACCGAGATCAGCAATACAAGCTCATCTTGGTAGAGGAATGTAACAATGGCATACAAAGACAAGAGTTCAAGATGATTTATCTTTTACAGCTTTGGTATTTTTAATTAGCTTATTTAATTGGCCCAGCCTGGGAGGCCTTTGATTGTGAGGTGCAGCTGGCCTGGGGTTTTCCTCCTAGGGGCAAGTGGATGTACAGGGAAGTTTTTCACCCAGCTGTTGTTCCACAACCTCTATTCATTAATTGTTAACAACTCTATAGCTTTTTTTCTTTTAATAGTTATGTGTGTGTGCCACAATTGTTCAAACAAGTGTTTCCTGGACCTTTGGGTCTTTGATTTTTGGTCTAAGGTTTCCTGGGTCTTGAGTTTTTTGGGTAGTCAGGTTTTTTTGGGAGTTTTGTGGATTTTTTAGGTCCCAGGTTTTGGTAGGTCTTAGACTTTTTTTTGGGTCTTTTATTTTTGTCCAGATGGTTCATCTTAGATTTTAGGGGATATTAGGTGTAAGATTTGTATGTTTTTTTGGATCCTAGGGTTTTAATTCTTAGTTTTTTGGGTCTTAGGTCTTTTTGAGTTATTGACATTTCCAGGCTTAGGTGTTTTTGGGTCTTCAGTGTCTGGGTCATAGGATCTTTGAGTTTTCACAGCAAGGTTTTTGGGGTCAAAGGGTTTTTGAGCTAATTTTTTTGTTTGGGTGTTGTGTTCTTGGTGTCCTTGATTTTCTGGGCCAAAGGGTTTATTAGGTCTAAAGTTTTCAAGGGGGTAGGTTATTTGAGGTGCTAGGTTTCCAGTCTCAGAGTTGTGGAGTCTGAAGTTTTTTGGGTTGTGAGCATTAGATGTTTTGGTTCTGAAGTTTTTTGGGTCCTAAGGTTTTCTGTGTCTGAACCTTAGGTAAACTCATGGGTGGCAATTGTAGGGGTCTTAAGGGGCAGAGATCCTAGGTTTTCCACCTTTTTAGGCTGTGTCTTAAGCCAAAATTCTTGCTGTTGGTGGTGTCTTTATTATCCTTATTTGAATTTTTCTCTTGCCTACATGATCCAGTTCCAGTTTGTACAAATAATTATCATAGAAACTATTAAGATTGGGACACAAGATTCCTTTGAGCAGCTTTAACCTAGATTTAGCTGGAGTTAATTCCTCTAGATAGCTTTGATTAATTTGTTAATTTATCATAAAATTCAAATTTACAAAGTGTCAGACTTAGGGGGATTACAAAGGCTGATAGGGGGATTATGTCTTATTGAACATCATTTACTTGGCATGCCAAATTCATTTTCAAAATGATAGGTATTGAACACCTACTCTAATCAGGGTAAAGCCAGTGCAGATAAGATGGATAGCTGAGCTGGCTATTTTCATAGTTAGGTAAGGGGGTGCTAAATTTTTAATGCAAGGATTGTCCCTACAAGAAAGAAAAGAAAAGAAATTTAAAACCATGGTACTTTCACATCTGGAATCTTTAGGGAGACTAAGGAGCAGCATATGGCAATGAAATTTCTGGTTAAGTGTGGGGTATTAACTGATTTAAGACACAATTGGATAAAGGTGACCACTGACCAATCATAGCTCTCAGGAAAAAGGGAGCATGCGGTAACTGCTTTTTTTCTTGGTTTATTTTTACATGGTCAGGTTTAAAGATAGACTGATATAGTGTAAGCTTCATGTAACTGTATGACTGTACAAAGGAAAACTTGTAAAACAATTAGATGTTCAGAATATCTTAAGTACCAGTAGTTATTTTTCCATCATCATGCCACCAGGGTGTTAAATTTTTCAGACCTTAGGTTCCAGGGTTTTGTGCTTTTAATTCTTAAGGCTCTCAGGTTCTTATGGGTTTTCAGGGCTTAAGTATTCCAGGTATGGGGCCTCCAGGTAGCAGATAGCCTGTTCTTGGGTATAATCATTGGTTAAGGATTTGCAGGTCTTCTGTCTTTTTTTTGTTTTTAATGAACATCTGAAGGTTTTTTAGGTCTCATTTCTCTGGGGCATAGGATTTGCTGGTCTTTGGTTTCGGGGTTTTAGGTTTTCTGGATCTTGGGTTTCCTAATCTTAGATTTCTAGGTCTCTGGTTAATATTTTCTGTTTTGGGGGCTTTAGAATCTCAAGTTCTGCATGTCAGGTTGTAGGATCTTAGGCTGATAGTTTCGAAAGAAACTGTTTGGGGCTGCGTCGGTGGGAGTAAGGAAATAATTTGGATATATCAACAAGGTTGAAATGGTAAATTGGCCACCGTAATGATTACAAAAGCTGTCGTTTCGAGCATTAGCCCTTCGTCAGAGCGAATAGAGGAATTGTGGGTTGTGTGTGCTTTTAAAGGCAGAAAATGGAGCTACGTTATTGGTGGCTCCATTTTCTGCCTTTAAAAGCACACACAACCCACAATTCCTCTATTCGCTCCGACGAAGGGCTAACGCTCGAAACGTCAGCTTTTGTAATCGTTACGGTGGCCAATTTACCATTTCAACTTTGTAGGATCTTAGATTTTGGATCAAGGCTTCTGGATCTTAGATGTTCGGATATTGCTGTTATATATTCAGTGTCAAGGTTAGCTTTTGGGGTATAAGGTTCTATATCTTCAGTTTCTGGGTCTCAGATCTCAAGGAATCTTGTCACTCTAATGGCTTCATAAGTCAGTCTAAGGTCTTCCAGGTGTTAGGGTTTGGGCTGTAAAGTTGTGGATCAAAGGTTTCTGGGATTCATATTTCCAGGTTTTAGGTTTATTTTAGGTTTCCAGGTTTCAGCGTCTCCAGATTTTCACAATTTTATAAGTTTCAAATTCTTAAATTTTAGGTTGGCATGATGTTGGTTGTAGTACATGAGTAAGCTCATAAGCACAAACCACTCTTAGCAATCAGTATAAATAATTTAGTTTGATTATTGGGAGCTTGTCATCTGGTCTTTTAGGCTGCTTTCATGCTGCTGAAATATTAAGAAGTTAGTTGTTACAGAGTATGGAAATCTGAATTTAAGGTGATGGCTACATTGAAGGCAAATTGCTTTATTTCCAAAAGTATGATTCCAATGGTAAGCAATACCAGGGCTAATTTGCAACATTACGCACATTCTTTATAATGTTCTCTATAATTTCCTAAGATGCTGACATGGAGAATTTGTCTAACAAGCAACAGCTTGTTTAGTTGGTGATCATTTCCTTTAATCTTGTGACCTTAATGTGGTTCAGGATGTTATATTTTTTAAGGAGAAGTTAAAAGCCAGTCACTCTTAGGGATCTCATAAGGTACCTTACTGCAAAAGGTAAAAATCACAAGCTATATTTTAATTTCAGTATTGGTATTGTTTTGCACAGCCACTTGGTTTTGCAAAAGTGTCTGATAGGTTTCTTAAGGTTTTTTTTCTTTTTCTTTTTTTGCCAGCTTGTGGTTTATGTAGGCTCATTAGTCTTAGGAAATCCTTTGACTTACCAGCGAGGTTAAGGCATAGTGCCATGAACTTGCATCACCTATAAATATTGTTAATACCATTATTTATTAGTTTCTAGTTTATCTACAGTGCTAATGAGCTTGCATATCTATTTAAGTTGTTAGAATTTTATCTAATTGCAGATTGCTGGTGGCACACACACAAAGACCAAAGATAAAAAAAAAAGTCAAAATCTAGCCAATCACATCCTTGCGGGGTTGTGGAAGCTCTGCCTGCTCTGAAAAGGTGTGTTTCTTGATGTCCTAAAGTATTCCAACTGAGAAATCCTGGAATGCTCTGTCTGATCCTTAAATTCATGCTGAGAAGAGTTGAACACTTGGATGAGTTGGCTACTTGCTCTCAAGTTGGGAGGACAGCATGGAGGAAGGTGAGAGTTTGCTCTTTATGTCTTTAGGGTTTCACACAATTTGTCACAGAACCACGCCACCAACTGAGCGAATTTCGGCTTTAGATGGTGCTTTTTTGTAGTAAATGTACCTAAAAATGCTCCACAGCCAAGGATCATTAAAACAGGGGTGCTAAATTGTAGGGCTCAAGGAAGGTCCATCTTAGTGACAGCAAGGTTTGGTGACAATTTCACTGAGTTTTGTTGGTCTGGGTTAGACTGGATTCTCATGATGACTTCAAATTCAGCTAATAGTTACTTGAGTCTCTCTGATGGGTTGATTCTGTATCTGGTCTCTCTCTTCCTTAATTTTTGATTAAACATAACTTGAATGTAGACAAATATTAACCATAGGGCTAGTCAAAGACATAAAAATTATTACCTGGTTTTCATGACAAAATAATTTTAGGATCAGCATATTTCTTCACATACAAATAATCAAAACATGATAAAAGTAGCTAACTTTAGGATTTTTCTTATCTTTAAGTAAACTATTAAAAGCTTTCCTTACCACCTTTTTCTTTTCCTTTTTTTTGATTTGACAATTGTTGCAGTTTTTCTATTTGAAAACACATTACTATAAAAACTATAATTCTAGGATAACCATAATTTTTTTCATAAAAAAATATATATAAAAAATTTTTTTTTAACGCAAGGGTTTGTCATGAATTGGTTAATTTAATTCACCTTAGACAGAAGTAGCATTTTCATTAGGAAAATAGTACTTGTATAGTTAAGGATTATAAATAAATATATATGTAGGTTATTATTGAATCTCATATTAATTTAATCATACAATAGGTTAGTTATGAACATGCAAAATTTATATAGTCCTTGATAAAAGTAGCTTTCACTGAAAAAAATTGAATTTTTAATTTAGGATTTTTCTCTTTTTCCTATCAGTACATAAGTATTTTGGTTATTATTATATTTCATCATAATTTGATTATAAAAATTAATTTTAAATAGCTGTCACATAGGTGTTGTTAGGGCATGTCAAGCAATTGTCCAATTATGAATAACTTTGTGACTGGACCAGGCTAAAAACATTAACATATCAATAAGCCATTCTTTACCTGAAATTGAAAACATTTAAGCAAATTAAGTTAAAGGAGTTGTAAATCACACAGATTTACAAGGGGTAATTAAAAAAGGGGTAATTAAGAAACTTAAGAAATTAAGAGTTGTAAATCACACAGATTTACAAGGGG